TCGTTTCTAAACAAGCAGAATGGAAGCCGAAGACAAGTAATAGTGGTTCGACATGTTTTGTCGCTCGTAAAACGTAGAAACGATTGGATTAATATTAACGGTTTCGTTTTTTATTTTCCTGTGGATTTAATGTCTCGCATCGACTGCAAGATCATTATCTTTTCAATATTCCGCCAACAATAATTCAAATCCAGAAGTAACGGATTCATTGCTGCCGTGATTTATAAACAAAATTGTTATTAATTAACGTAAATACATGTCGATTTACTTGTCCCATTAGCATCTGCCATTTATTATTGATTTCATTCGTTTGTAATATGATAAATATTGTATATGTTCAAATTTCGGTCAGTTAGTGACAATTGTTTCCCCTTAATAATCCGGGAATTAATTTTGCAATCGCCTGTTCAGTTGATTAGATTATTACACACATCAACGATAGATTTATAGAATCTATTATTTTATACATATTTTTAAGCGCGCGTAATTTATTTTGCTCATGCGTTAGTGACTCAATACATACATCTTTCATATCCAACGATCCAATATAGTCGAAAAACCAACACCAGGAAATCTAATATTAAAATATACTATATTATACTATAAAATATACTATTAATACTATTTTTTATTCTTACTATTTATCGTTAATTCCTGCCTCAAGACCAAGGAATGGACTTGCTTTACAATTTCCAAATGCTCAAGCCACACACGTTCTTCCATTATTCACACACATAGAATTTATTTTGCCTTTCTTTCTTTATTCTCCACGCTTTTCGCTCACTTTCTTTAATTTATTCTCTACTTTCGCTAAGCAGCCCACTATTTTCTCGTCTTTCCTCTTCCGCACGGTAACTCCTCTATAGTACAGCACACGTAGGCTTTTCACATCGGAATCATTCCCAGCATAATTCTCCAAATCAGAAAACACGAGACAAATTTCTTTCTTCGACTAAATGATTCTTCCAGAAAAAAAAATACAAAGCATTACTAACCTCTTACCGATTATGCTTGCGTATGTCAGGGACACGGTAAATCACCAAAAAAAAACATGTAAACTCTAACAAATCCAAAACTACGTTTCGTTTTCTATGCATGCGAAAGAACTACAACAGGGGAATCGAATTACGCGAATTGTCTTTCGACGATCGAGTGAAAACAAGTTTGAAATTCGATTTACAGGACTGGCATTTGAGCGTTAAAGGGTTAATCTTTATTCATACACGCGCTTCATATTTTAGAAATTTGCATGCGGTGCGAATGCATGAAGAATCCGCTTCCTACGTGGCGCAAGGTTTGAACGTCAACCTTCAAAAAAAAAAATAGCGAGGAAATTCGTTCGCACGGTTTCTCGTCGGTTGCACACAGTTTCCGAAATCTGTTTCCCCTCTTTTAAAAACTGTCACGTTGTAACGGCTAGCCCAGGGAGCTCTTTGATCGCGGCCGGTAGTCCGGATGAAGTTGTTTGAACGCTCCTCTGCCGGTTCGCAAATAACGAAATTTGTCCGTGTACACGCCGACGCGATGCGACACGACGTTGACGGGGGAAAGGCGTACCTGAAGAATTCGTGAGAAATTTCACGATGTATCTATATTTGTCCCGGCTGTCAAGAATTTCGAGGAAGGCGCCTCGTTGAACGCTGCCACTCGGCTCACGAGTCAAGGTGAGACATGGGGCGGACCCACGTCAACGTCAATGTTCACGGCGACCTGATGCCGCGATTTCGATAACCTTAAACCGCCTCCCGCTCTCGCCAATCGACTTTTACCCTCGGCAAACACGTTTTAATTGCGGCCGATATGCAGGCACCGGAGTGACACACGAACAAACCGATCATCGAACCAAACTCACTCGTCAGAATTGAGGATCAAGATATCGATGTACACATGTACTCCATTGTTCTGATCGTGTTTCATCGGTGGACTGCGGATTTTACGCGTTTATGAAAAAAAGAATGGATAGTGCGAATACAGAACAATAAAGACATCTAAAAAATTGCAAGTGATGTTATGTTCCCTCAACTCGTTATAATTACCGACAAGGGAGATCAATGTGTATGTATGTAGCTCCTGTATTTTTTGAAATTAATGCAGACAGTTTCCATTTTGCACAAAAGTCTGCAGTCTGTTTATCGGTATCTCTTCATCTTCGATTTCTTACGAATTACTTACGTTGCTACATTCGATATTTGTTTAACATTTAAACTACCAGCATGATGCCACATGGCGTCATTAACGACTAAAAGTGAAAGAAAGAGAGAACTGTTATCCATCAAAATACATTACAATACTAATATTATATGGCAAATCTGGAAATTACACCTGCATCGTCTAACGACGTGTGTAATTAGGTTTCCTAAATATTTCCTCTCAGAAATCGAGTAAAAAAACAGAGAACTGTTATCCTTCAAAATACGTTACAATACTAATATCGTAATGTATTTTTAATCGAGTCAAAAGAAAGAGAACTATTATCCTTCAAAATACGTTACGATACTAATATTGTAATGTATTTTTAATCGAGTCAGAAGAAAGAGAACTATTATCCTTAAAAATACGTTATAATACAAATATTGTAACGTATTTTGAAGGATAATTGTTCTCTTTTTTGTAACTCGATTTGTGAGAAAAAATATTTAGAAAACCTAATTACATACGTCGTTAGACGGTATAGGTGTAATTTTCAGATATGCCAGTAGGTGGCCACGTCGCACAATGGTCGGTTTCCATACGAAAAGCGGAAAAAAGTCAGTTTTAAAAATACGCCCCATTATGCATAACTTATTCACTAGTAGTCAATTGTGTATGTGGCTTATTATTTATTACGATCTTCTTTACCATTTGTTCATTTTGAACACGGCTACATAGCTTCAAAGTAGCTCATCTCCAAATCATCCTGAATTTATGACATCGTTTATAATTATTTTGTTCTTTGCAAATATATAACTTTTACAGAATTTAATGTACTTAATATGTACTTAAATTCTGTCACAGGACACTTCTTTATCTCTCACATTTTTTGAATTATGTCCAATTGAATATGCTGAATTTTCATTTCATTTTTTAATTATAAGTTCGGTGGAGTTCAGTGTTCGCTTTGATCGCATTTTGAAGAGTGATGCCTTACATTAATAATAAAGTAAAAATTGGCTGCTATTTGCTGCTATTGGAGAAATCATCTAATAATAATGCCAAAATGGCATTATTATTTTATTATTATATGGACTACCGAATTATGCGAGATGTTTTGAATAGGTTGATTAAAATATCAATATTTCAACTATTCGCACTCTATTGAAACTAATGAGAATAATTATAAATAATATTTTTTTTATTATACATCCGTTCACGTCGAGTATGAAGAAAAGGACGATCAAGAAATCGAAACCATTTCTTAAAGAAACAATCGAACTACTGGTTTTAGAACAATGTTCGCAACATGAAAATAAAGAGGATGTTCAATTTAATTAAATTGAATTGAAAACAAAAATTGTATTTTTTAAAAATTTGTTCACAAATAATTAAAACACTGCATTCTGTTTTCATTATTCTATCCCAACAAAAATGCAAATATATGTATTAGTAACATACAATGAAAAAGTAAGGCTTAAATATATAATTTTAGTTGTTATACATTTTTTTCGTTTTTTTTGTACGGAAACCGACCACTGTGCATCGCAAACAATTTTCTGGTAAGCGAAAATAACGTACAAGTAAATAAAAATAGCCTGCTAATTGGAACGAATTATCCGTGACTTCTGGAATTACTTGACTTCTTGTCTTTTTTTTCATTTTTACAAATAATTTCATAAAACTATGCCGAAAGCATTGTTTTGAAAATTGTTATACCAAAGTAGTTTTGCCATAAACGCAATACAAACAAGTATAATGAAAAAAAAATCAAATAAACCGTAAAACAAGAAGAAAAAACAGAAAAAAAATATAATTTGTACTTTCTTCGTCCATTTCTCCATCTCGTTGACCCATAAACGCAATACAAACAAGTATAACGAAAAAAAATCAAATAAACAAGTAAAACAAGAAGAAAGAACAGAAAAAAAGAACATAATTTGTACTTTCATCGTCCATTTCTCCATCTCGTTGACCCAGGGTAACGGTAAAATTGTCTAAAAAGTAGAATATAAAGTATGGTAGTTTTACAAAAATCTGAGATACTAATCTAAACTACAAGTAACTGAAAATTTTTGCAGTTCGAATTCTCTCTCAATCAGAAACGTAATCAGGAGTATTTAAAAAACCTCTAGAAATACCCCAAATAAGAGAAGAACAAAAGCTCGTATCGTTCACGTGAACGTGATTTATTACTGGTACATAAGAATCGCTGAGGCCCAGACTCTAATTCGCCGCACGCCAGGTTCAAGAAGCAGTCGGTGTAACTCACATAACTGTGGCAAGCAAGTTCGCGACGTTGCTAACGGGCGGGCCGTTGTTCCAAGAAAATTGCAAGCTTCCGATGAAAACAAAAGCGGAAAAGCGACGGTCGCGCGGAGTTTCCCGATACTTCGAAGAACGAAATATTTCCTGGACGAAGAACAAATGAAAGAAAAACGATTTCTCGGTCGGCAGCGGCGCAAGCAAACTTCCATGATACGTCTCGTTTCCATTTGCAAATGTGTTTCTTATCGTTACCTTCTGTTCGCCGAGGTTGCGCGAGTTCCGAACTTATTTCCTGGTTGTTGCAACGAAACAACAGGAAACGCCATTTCAAACGTTCCTCCGCCTTTTCCGCATTCCTGCTCGTGCGTGCGTGTATACGCGTGCGTGCGTATGCATATGAGTGTAGGTGTGTGTGTGTGTGTGTGTGTGTGCGACGCATACAAAGTGACGTATCGCTTTTCCGGAGATCACACTAGTTCCGAGAAACTAACCGTCCGAAATAGATGAAAAGCGGTGTGTTTGGCGCCGATGCCAGACAATGTCTCACCCCGACTGGCAATCGATAATTTTTAGAAATAATAGATCTCTCGTTTTGCCGGCAGGACTCCACCAAGCTGCCGTTGTCCGATGTACGGAATCGCACCATAGCTAACATCACGGGGCTCAGCCTGAGAGAGAACGACGTGGACGGAATTAATTGGGTAATTAAAGCGAGGTTTAATCGGCCGTGTTTTTTCAGGACAGGAATTCAAACGAATTCAGGAATTAAATATTCATGGGAAAGAAGAAGAATGGATTATCCTGTTCTTTTTGTTTTGTTTCATTTGTGCAAGTAACGCAGGGGCTCGGAAAACATTCATTTTGCTTTTAACGGAAAACGATTTTCTGTATCAGCAGTTATTATTTATATTATTATTCGAAGCTCGGAGCGTATTCTCATTTTTATAGACTGTTTTATAAAACAGATTATCATCAGTTTACTGATGTAATCATCTTCCTGTAGACATGACAATTGACTTGTCCAATTATACAGCCATACAAAAGAAAGGTCAAGAACTTTTTCAAAGACCATTTGTACTGCGATTTTCAGATCACTGATTACGAATTTAGTGTCAGATTAATGTCTGAATTAATTGTTTAACAAATAAAAAGCCAATTGTTTATTGAGAAAATATGTTTTTGAAACTCTATGTATATTCATACAAAACTCCTTAAAGTATAACCAGAAAAGGAACTAAATTGTCGAAAGGAAAATGACTATTTCTTTTGAAAGAAGCTTTTTCTCATATAAAATGGAAAAGTTATTAATTGTAATTTTAATTGAATAGGCAACATTGTCAGCCTGACAAAAAAATGTTTCGAATGAACGTTAAACAGTATTTAGTTGGCTACATATTCTACTAAATGTCAAGGTTACCTTAACTTTTTTAAATTGCACCCTATATTTTTGACTTTCTAAGGTTATTGCTGATGAAAAAATGAATTCAACAATCTACTATACTGTTCCTTTTTAAATGATCTTGATTTCAGCAATTTAGGGTGACCTTGATAAGGCGATCTTAACTTCTAGTAGAAAAACAATAGCTTCTGAAATTTGTTATTTTTCAACATGTAGCCAACTAAATAATTAACTTTAATTCGACACATTTTTTTGTCAGTCTGTATATAGTACTAACAAAGTTCGTAACATAACTTCAAAACATAATTGTTTGAACAACACTTCCCAATACTAAATTCAATTACAATATCGATAAAAAAAAATATAAAATTAATCGAGCAACAATTTTGTTTTGAGGTTATGTTATGAACCGTTTAGTAATATAACTGATCTGACTTGATTACCAAATTCAGCGACTTGAAATCCATAATGGTACCCTTGTTTTTCCAGCACATACCCTAAAATAACATTTTTTAATGTTATGTCGAAAATGTACCGAATGATGCGCTATTTTGACCTGACATTCGGATTCAACGCCGCAAAATACATAGAAATACAATGGTCTCCGAAAGAAAGTTCTTGATCCTTTTTTTGCGTGGTTGTATTATTAGCATGCTAATATGATTCGTATTCATGAAAATGTAAATGTACACACAAAATTTACGGTGACATTGATCATTCACTATCTATAACGCAGCGTGTCGAAAGCATTACAAGAAAACTGCATAATATTTCTCTAAACAAAAGAATTGAGTAAAATCGAAGAGTGATGTACACCGGTAGCTCAAATTTTTCTGACAGTATAGTATGCTTATTATAGTATGCTTATATGTATAGTATGCTTATATAGCATGTACTATACTGCTTATATAGTATGCTTATTACAGTGATAGTATGCTTTCACATGGAAACATTTACACTCGAAGCCCATCGCTTATGTTATCAGGATTGTGAAATTCGTCCATTTTACAATAATTGTATGCATGATCCATGTTGAAATGTGATTGGTTCCTTGAGAATCTTTCTTAAGTAGGTACATAACAATTAGGACATTAAGAATCAAGAACAGGAACTTGTAGAAAATTTATCATTACATATTCATAATGAAGCAGAAACATTATCAGCTTAAAAAATCTTATATGATTTTTGTTGTCGTACGAACAATCGAAACTGAATATTTCGGTCAATTATGCAAATACATATAGTAATCTTTTTATAAATAAGATTTTAGCTCCTAAATATTCCTCTTTAAATATGCAAGTCCAGTTATAAATAAGTTATTTATTTTTCCATAGAGTGTTATAAATGTGCAATTTAGACCAAATAGCGAGAAAATCTGTGATCTGTTATAAACTAATCGATGTAAATAGATCTATGAAATTTAGATCAAACTAAAAGAAATTTCATTCATTGCTATAATTTAATGTTAAAGTGTTATGTAAGCATACAAATATTTTCTTTCTGTGTAAATATGAATTTTTACAATATTTATTTATACTCTTACTGCATCAATATTTTTTCGTTATAACTGTGTACATGTTTTCCTTATCATAATCGCTTCATGACTGCTTCTGAAGTGATAATAAATGACAACAAGAGGAATATTTTCAATTGAAGATTTCTGAAAAAAATGTCGTTTTTAAAAAGAATAACCGATTTACAGGATATGTACCATGTGTTTTTTGATTCTTATTAATAGTACAAATAAAACGCGTGTAGTCTGTGGTATTAATATAAACGAAGTATATATTCAGGATGTTTCGCATTTTTCCGTCCATACTTCGACAGTGAGTTCTACAGAAAAGATAAGACTAAAATATAATATAACAAAAAGTCCAGGAATGTATTGTTGAGAATTTATGAGAAAAATACAAAACATGATTTAAACGCAGTTAAATACAGGGTGACCCAAAAATGTCTCGCAATTCGGAAATGGGAGGATCCTGTGGTCGTTTGAAGTATCTTTTTCCTCAGCGAAAATGCAAACCGCAGCTTTGTTTACGAGTTATTAACGAGAAACAGTGACCAATGAAATGCGGAATTGAGACATTTTTGGGACACCCTGTATATCTATAGTTCTCGCGCAATAAGAAGACACCATTGTGTTTACATTCCCCACCTTACTATCTGCCCCAACGCCGCAATTATCGGTTGCTATTGACCGCCGTCGATCTTCGTCACCGCTTCCGGCCAATAACGACCGATAACTGCGGCAGTGAGGCAGCTAGTAAGAGAGGGACTGTAAACACGAAGGTGCCACCTTGTCGCGCGAGAACTGTATATCTCCATTTCAAAGTGACGCTCGACCTTGTTGACACAGATTTTACATCAACGAATTATCGAATCTATTGTTGATTTCAGTCGGTTGCGACTTTGCCAAATCTCTTCGCAGGCGATGTTGATTTTTGTAATTAATTCGTCTTTTGTACGTTAGCCTTATCACATCGTTTACACTTCTTATTTTTGTCTTAACTTCTCAACAAAGCATTTATAGATTCATTTTAATAGAATATTTTAGCTTTATTTTTCCTTGCAGAACACATTTCCGAGGTATTCATGGAAAAATACGGGACACCCTATATATGTATATACAGGGTGTCCCGAAAATGTCTCGCAATCCGGAAATGGGAGGTTCCTGAGGTCATTTGAAGCAACCTTTTCCTTTGCGAAAATTTTCTCCGAGGCTTCGTTTACGAGTTATTGACGAAAAACACTGACCAATAAGAGGCGAGCTCGGCTGGCACGCGGCTGCACGGAGCCAAGTTCCGCTCATTGGTTCGGCCGTCTCGCGCCAAACGATTTCGCCTCTGATTGGTCACTGTTTTTCGTTAATAACTCGTAAACGAAGCCGCGGATTGCATTTTCGCTAAGGAAAAAGTTGCTTCAAATGACCTCAGGAATTCCCTACTTTCGGATTGCGAGACATTTTTGGGACACCCTGTATACATATATCAAAGTTACATATGGACATATAAGTTACATATAAGCGTTCAGAGGTCATTTTACTTATCATACGAGATATATTATTGGTAAGCAGCTAAAAACGAGCGAGGATTATAAGATCGTCCTTTCGTAAACTAACCGGACGTAATTCCGTGAGAGTCGTGAGCGTAAAAGTGATTGGCTTCGATCGTATATTAATCAAAATGTACGTTGACTAATACAACTTCTTGAAACGCAAACGTATCATGTAATCGCGATACTGTTCATGTTTCCGAACAATCGATTTTGCAAATGCAATCTGATACCCGCGCGAAAGCTTCAATGGAACAGAATAAAGACTGCATTACGCTATCCCGTAGTTTGGATTTAAGCCAATTTATCTCCATTTGGCGCGCGACGACTCGGGGACGCGTAGTGAAATGCATAAAAATTCCTTTTTAATAAACTCACACCGTTGGCCGTCCCCGAAGGGATTACCGTGGAGAAAGCTCATTGAATTGATAAGTGCGGACCTTCGGTGGTAGCTTTCTCAGCGAAGCCTTGGAATTGAAGAATATCAGGAAGACACAGCTGAAACGATTCCTCGTCGTTCGTCTGACAAGCAGCCCTAGCGAAATACTATTTTCCCATCGGCCTCGACCAATTCCACCGCCTCGTCTCCCAACGACATTGTCTCGCGACGCAACGCGCGATGTTTCCGCGTCGGTGTGTTTTAATCATGACCTTTTTGCCGTATGCATAATAAAGTCGTTTACGGCGTCAGTCGCGAAAGAATTGTCTAAATGCGCGCCGCTTCAGCCGTTCGGGGTAATTTCTTCATTAACTCCGCGGCATAATGGAGCACCGCGCTGGGTTCCGAGGATGCAACGAGTAAAACCGCCCACCCTCTCTCCCTCTCCCTCTCTCTCTCTCTCTCTCTCTCTCTCTCTCGTCGGGAAATCCACCCGCGACACAGTACTTATGAGCAGCTGACGGGTTGCCTTAATTTTCGTTTCATTAGGCTCCGCCGATTCCCTTTGTATCGCGGACATACGCGCCGAACGAAGAGGGCACAGACACACCCTCTTGCCATCCCCGCCTCTTCCTTGCCCCTTTCTCGCCTGTACGCAAACGCAACCCCCGAGTAAAACAATTAAACCTGTTGTTTTATAATTTTGCAAGAATGGACCGGCTTAATGTTTCATTTCTCGTTTCCGCGTCGCTGGTGCCGAGGAAAAGCTTGCTTGCTTTCCGAGAAGCTTGTTCCGTAACGCGTTACCGTTGCTTTCTGTGATTTCCTTTGAGTGTTACACACTGTTGCTTCGGGGTATGTGCACAATTCCCTAATTGCAATTACCTAAAAATTAGTCGTTAATACGTTATGCATACGACAACAACATTCATCATCGAGTTAGGAAATTTTGACCAATAAATTACGTAAACGTCGCACCAATAATAAGATATCTATACAATTCAATCGAACTTGCATTGCTGTTGTAAATCTAATTTTCAGTTATTCTGTATACTTTTAGTGAAAAATTCGAACGAAAATTCATATTTTTACGGGTGCAATCCACATTTAATAAAACGATTATTTGGCGAAAGACAGAAATACGTCGACGTCTAGCGATAACACTATCGCGAGGGTAAAAATGTAAGCAATCTTTACAAATTTGCGTGTTTGCACGCTATAATCCTAAACAAACATATCAGTAGCAATTCAAGCTTTTTTGGGTTACATCGCCTATGAAATATTCGAGAAATGTCGAAAACAAAGAAATCGAAATTGAAATTCAACAACTGATTATTTCGTTAACCCGAGAAAGATAACCTACGTCGCAGAGGCGCCTGCGAAGACTGTTGATTTTTGTTAATTTTTCATAGAGGTCATAGTTGGTCTAGTGATTTAAGTTTAAAATTACTTAAAATATAAAAAAATATAATATAAATGCATTTTATTTGTACAATAATGCCAAACCTTTAAAATGACTAGATTAACTTAAATAAATATCCATTGTTAGTATAAAATTGACGCCTTAGAAAAGCATGCGCCTCTGAAGCGTATGGTTATCTTTTACGTACGTTGTCATATGGTTATCTTTCTAGGGTTAAATATGGACTGCGTACGTAAATATGTAAGTATTAGTTTGAATTCGTCATTAAATAGTCTACATATGTCCTGTAAAGATATACAGAATAAATATAAATTGAGTTCATAGTAATAATATAAATTTTCTCCCGAACTACTATAAATAAAATAATATATAAAATTTATATACAGGGTGTCCCATCACTATCGTCACTACATGCGCAATCATCACGTCGTTGCTGTTTTGTTTTTATGTGTACGCTTGGGGGACACGCGAAGGTCACCATTGTTTTTTTTTTTAATGGAATCATACATAGTGGGACATAATTTTATTGAAATCGGTTAAAACTGCAGATTTCTTCCAGTTTTTGGACAAAATCGTGATAAAACTGCGATTTTTACCATGTTTAATTTGTTATAACTTATAACAACGTCAACCGATTTCGATAACATTTTTAGCAGGCATATAAGTTACCGGGATCTACGAGAGGCATTTTTTAAATTTTCGTTATAGACTGAGATGGAAAAGTTACAAAACGAGAGTTTTTTATTTTTGTTTTCATTCCAAGTAATGATAAAATTTAAAAAAAAAAAGCATTTTGATCATCGTCTGGTAGACTAATCCTGCTATCATCTGAAAAAAAGTTCAAGCCTCTTAGTCCAGTTTTAAAAAAGTTATTGCGTTCTAAATGGTGTACGAACACTTTTGCGGGCCACTGTATGTATCAATGAAAATGAAATGAAGCATTATGTTAGGTCTACCGGAAAGTTCTGTCCGTTTTTGAATTGAAATATAACACAATTTTCATACATTTAATAATATTTATTGTAGAATATACTTTCCATCGTTACTTAAATTATGTCACAGGGCACTTTTTCATCTGTCACATTTTTCGAGTTATATCCAATTGAATATGTTGAATTTTCATTTCATCTTTTAATTATGAGTTCGATGGAGTTCAGTGTTCGTTTTGATCGCATTTTAAAGAGTGATTCCTTACATTAATAAAAAGAAAATAAAAATTGACTGCTATTAGCTGCTATTGAAGAAATCGTCTAATAATAACGCCAAAATGCCACGTGCCACGAAGCATACCGTGATTCCTATGTGCTATTGAATTACGCGAGATGTTTCGAATAGGTTGAGTAAAATATCAATTTTTTGTTCAACTGTCCGCACTCTATTGAAACTAATGAGAAATTGTTACTAGCGTAAGAGTGAACATCTGTTCCTGTTTCTTGCTATTTCTGTGTACAATTTCTGATTTTTTAAAGTCTCATGGTAAAGATATTAGGTCTGCCGGAAAGCTCTGTCCGTTTTTGAATTGAAATGTAACACAATTTTCATACATTTAATAATATTTATTGTAGAATATACTTTCCATCGTTGCTTACGACTTCTTGCCAGCGTGATGGCAACTTGTAAATGCCTTTTTTAAAAACTGATTTATTTTTAGAGGCGAAGAACTCAACCAGTGCTTGGTTGACATCAGCTTCGGTTTTGAATTTTTTTTCCTGTAAAAAGTTTTGCAAAGAGAGAAACAAGCGATAATCGGAGGGTGCTTAATAATGACATGAGACATCTTTGTTTCAGTTTATTTAGGAGAGTACACGTGTGTAAATGCAATGATAAAGAGGGATAGTCAAATATGTCTCAAATCAACATGTGCATATGGATTGAAACTTGAAGAGTGACACTATCGGACAGAACTTTCCGGTGGACCTAATATTAATTTCGACGAATTAAATCGAAGGGACAAACAATATAAATAATTTTTATTTATTAACAAGTTTGCATTATGAATTCATAAAATTTGATTTGGTATAGATGGAATCAGCTGTCCTCTACGATTCGGTATTCTTGTTTTACAACGCACTGGAGACCTTGAATGCGAGAAACAAGGATTGCGAGGAACCTGTAACTATTGACCCAGTATCGCTCTCTTGTGAAGATACAGAGAAGTACAACGCAGGTCCCAACATTACCAACCTTATGCGCGAGGTAAATCCCCCCATTGACTTTTCCTCAGTCGTGGAAGACACGAATTTAACAAGCATCCAAGCTGCATCGTAATAAAATTTCCCGACTACACACGAAACAAAAGAGAATTTTGACGCGGTAATGCGTCCGGAATGCTAAAGATTATATTTAATCGGCACACGCTAACGCTTCTAACATGCAGCAGTCGCACTGCTGATAATTATTTAAAGCACAAATAAAATGTTTCAAAAAAATAGTATTTACAGTATACGATTAATTTTGACCATAAAATAATCCTCGATTAGAATATATAGTTAAAACGTTCTAAATCCAAATCTAGTTAAACTTCTAAATCTTAGTTGCCATTTATGCTAAATATTGTACACTTCGACTCGCATAATGAAGTAAAAATGATGCTTATTACAGCAAATATCGTGAGAGCGTGATTAAAATTAAGTAAACAAGTGCTGGAAGGTTTGTAAACTCAGGAAAGAGAGCGGACATTCTTATCTGTCTTTAATTCGCGATCTACGAACCTTTTTATCATTGTCCGTAAGCCTTCTTTTATACGCAGTATTCTTTCTTTGAATATTTCAACTTAACGTTTTCTTTCTTCGCGTTAACGTCTCCCCGTTACTTTTTCAGTGCACAGAAACTTCTCGTTCAAAAATTCAAAAGTTTTTCGCGAAAGGAACAATGAAGCTGAAAGTGGCCAGGAGTTGTTGAGCAAAATGAGCAGCACATAGACGTTAAAAATTTAATATAATAAAGCGAAACTTGCTGCTAAGGTTCCTAAAACGATTCGCGAAAACTTTGTCACCAACCCAAATCATTAGCAGAAAGATGTGACGTATAACCAGAGTGAAAGTAATTAATCGTAATTTGTGCAGTTATCGAAGCAGGGTAAAATGACTGGATCGATGGTTTTCGACGACAATGGACGCCGTAAGGAATTTAATGTTCGCATAATGGACGTGAGACAAAACGGAAGCGTTCAAATCGCATATTGGGATGTAGATGGACTTCATAAATTTGGTACCCAAGAGGATCTCGATAAGTACTTGTATAAGTCCATTGAAGAAAAAAAGTTTGTCGTCTCTACCAAAGTGGTATGTATCCCGCAGGCCAGAAACGATTTATTTTTGTAGCATAATTCTAGGCTGAATCATAGTCACTTACGTACATACTTTTTCTTGTAATACTTGTTCTACTACTGTGATCAAAAAGTAAGGTGAAATTGTCATTTAAAACTCCCGGACATTAGGAAGGCAGGCAATTGTTTTTTTCCTAGGTTGGTAGGACTGTCTATAACAATTGCCAAGAGCGTCTGTTTGTTAAAAGGTTTAATTATCTCCGAGTTACACGTGTTTTAGTAAACGACCAAAAGTGAATTTTTCGATTTTTAAAATGGGTGATTTTATTGAGCAAAGAACTTGCATCAAATTTTGTTTGCGGAACGAATATTCTTGTGCGGACACGTTGAAAATGTTGCGGAAGGCCTTTGGTGATCAAACTATGGCACAAAAAACGTTTATAAGTGGTACAACGAGTTCAAAGCGGGCCGAGAACGCGTTGAAGACGAACCGCGCTCTGGACGACCATCAACGTCTACCGACGAGGGCCACGTCCAAAAAATCGAAGATTTGGTGCTTGAAAATCGTCGATTGATGATAAGAGACCTCGCTGATAGTGTTGGAATATCATTTGGCTCAGTCCAAACCATTTTGAAGGATGATTTGTGTCTCAAACGCGTCAAGTCTCGATTGGTGCCATGTCATACTGCATTGGTTCTTCGCGACTTTTTT